GCCAGGGACAGGAGGAGGACGCTGACGCGAACTGCGACCACTAGCGCGAGCAGCACGAACAGGCGACGCGGGGCGAGACGCAGGCTCACGACGCTCAGGAAGACCTCCAGTAGGACCAGTGTAAGGATAGGGAGCAGGCAGTGGAGAGGAAGGCTCCAGTAGGGACTGCGACTGGACAGGCGGTGGACCCTCTACTGGAGGAGAAAGACCAAGAACCTGCTGAAGGAGCGGAACGAAGTACGGCCGAGGCCGCGCGGCAGCTCCAGTCTCAGCAGGGACAGCACCAGCACCCTCAGCGACAGCACCAGCGCCACCCACACCTCCAGCGGCAGGACCAACAGCAGCAGGCTCAGCACGAACGCCCTCAGCAGCTCCAGCTCCAGGAGGACCCGCAGGTCCAGCAGCTCCGGGACCGGCAGCACCCGCACCCTCGACGATCGAAGAAGCTCCAGCTCCAGCTCCAGCAGCACCTCCAGACTCAGCAGCACGCCTCCAGCGGCGAGCGAACCACTCGCGCAGCTCCTGTGGAGAGAGGGGCTCCCGGCGAGACGCAGCAGCAGGAGAAACCCCAGGCTCAGCAGCTCCAGACGCAGCACCCCCAGGCTCAGCAGCTCCCAGCTCAGCACCCCCAGGCTCAGCAGCTCCCGACCCAGCACCCCCAGACCCAGCACCTCCAGGCACAGCACCCCCCGGCTCAGCACCCCCAGGCTCCGCACCCACCGCAGTAGCACCCTCAGGCCCAGCACCCCCAGCAGTAGCACCCCCAGGCTCAGCACCCCCCGCGCACAGAACCCCCAGAGTCAGCACCCCCAGGCTCAGCACCCGCAGCAGGACCAGAGTCACCAGTAACCTCGACCGGGTCAACGGCGTCTACCTGGGACACACCTGAGGGGGCAGGAACCTGAGGGGGGAGGGGGTCTACCGGGGGGGAAACCGGCACAAGGAAGTCCGGGGGAGGGGGGAGGGAAGGAGTGCGGTAGGGGAAGAGACGGTAGAAGGGGACTGACTCGTCGAACGTGACGTCCTGGGAGGACAGAACACGACGAGAGGAGGGGTGGTAAAACTGCCACCCTGGGGCGTCAGTGGGGAAGCCAAGAAAGACACAGGGAGCAGCACGAGGGGACAGCTTGTCCGCAGACAAGTCGCGGACAAACGCCCGAGATCCCCAGACACGGAACACAGACGCATCGCCAACCTTCCCTGTCCACAGCAAGACTGGGGACATCGCAGGCCGAGAGACCCGGGGGTGAAGGTTGAGCTGATGCGCCGCGTACCTCACCGCAAACGGCCACAGAAAATGGGGGGCAGCCGCATGCATCATGGACGTACGAGCGACATCCATGACCATGCCAATGCGGCGCTCAGCAATCCCATTTTGCTGTGGTGAGTCCGGAAGCGTGAAGGTCTGGCGGATCCCCCGTGCACGACAGTAGTCTCGCAGAAGGCGAGAAGAGAACTCTCCGCCTCTGTCAGAGTGCAGACGCAGAACAGGAAAGTCCGAGCCGAAGCTCTTCCTGAGCTGGAGACGAGCCTCGCGGATCCAGTCGATCAGCACCTCAGTGACCGCACCCTTGCTGCGCAAGGGGAGGACTGTGGTGTAACGCGAGTAGTCGTCAACCACCAACAGGAAGTATCGCTCGTAACCCTGCCCACGGACGGGGGCTGGGCCCCACACATCCATGTGAAGCGTCTGCAGGGGAGCCTCTGTCGGGGGGAAGTGGGAGGAGTGAGGAGTAGCCCGGAGGCGACCCTCGACACAGGGGACACAGGAAGGTCCTGGCCCGGAGGGGAGAGGAGGGAGAGACTGGGGAAGACCAGAGACAAGGACACGGGAAGCCATGCTCCGAAGACGGGGCAAGGAGGGGTGGCCAAGACGGTGGTGCCACAGGAGAGTCTCGTGAGACAGGAGGCGACAAGAACAGGGGGCAGACTCAGGACCTGACCGGGACGCAGCAGCAAGTACCTGACCCGACGCAGCCACCTGACCAGACGCAGGGACAGGAGGAGACTCAACGGTCAGGGTGTAGAGACTCGACCCCGGCCGACGCGAGAACGTGGCCAGGTGTCGGCCTGTGCGAGCCTCCGTGCAGTGGGTCACCCGCTGACGCGCAGGAGTGAACTGGTGAACACCCCCATCCTGCAGGTCCGCTCCACTCACCAAGTTCGTAGAGAACGAGGGAAGGTACAGACCCGACAGGGTGCCCGAAGGGGCAGCCGGACACGGGAGGACAGTGGAGAAGTGAGACAGGACAGGACCCCCAGAGGGGTCAGCAAGGGAGACCGCAACCGGCCTGGCGAGCGGCGAAAGGGTAGTGCGGTCTCGAAAGAAGGAGCGAGAAGCTCCGGAGTCAAGTGTGAAAGTGAGGGAGGACGAGGACGACTCAGTACCTGAGAACGCAGTCTCACCAGTACCTGAGAGCGCAGACGCACTGGCACCTAGAGCAGCAGCCTCACAAGTACGTAGCGCAGCAGTACCAATGCCCGGGTCGGGCTGGAAACACCGGTAACCCTCATTCTCCTCACTATAATCCACAACATACATAGCAGTAAGGATAGCATCAAAATCAAGATCAAAGATCGCTACACCAGCCCTGAGAAGCTCATCCCAGCGAGGGATCTCACTAGCCCCAGGGAACTGCTGACGCCAAGCGTCCGTCAGGCGGCCAAAGCAGCGCTGGGTGGCGTGGGCACCCCCACACTGCTCACCCGCGCGGTCGCCGGAACGAAGAACGTAGGTGCAGGGACCAGTACCCCCACCCCTCTGACGCCCAGCGTACCACTCACGAAGCTGCTGAGGCGAAGGGATGTCCCGTGAGCGCTGCTGCTGCTGCCGGTGCGAGCGCTGGCCACCACCACCGCCGCTACGCTGCTGGGTACCACCCCGACCAGCTCCACCTCCTCCACCACTACTGCCTCCGCCGCTGCCGCCTCCACCGCCTCCACCTCCGCCGCCTCCACCTCCGCCGCTGCCTCCACCACCACCGCTGGCACCACCACCACCGTCTCCGCCGCTGCTGCCACCACCACCACCACCACCCCCGCCACTAGTCCCGCCGCCACCCCCACTCCCTCCGCCGCCACCGCCGCCACCGCCACCCGCCCCCCCCAGCTCCACCCGCGCCCTTGCCTCCCTTGCCCTTGCTGGAGCGACGTCTCCCACTAGGGGCAGACGCCGCGCCGACTGACTCAAGACCAAGCAGGTCGGCAGCAGCAGCAGAGGCAACAGAGGGCAGCAAGGGGGAAGGAGAGCACCCCTCAAAAATGGGGGTGCGAGGGTCACCACGAGAAGCACCTACAGCGACTATGCTCTTCTCCGCTGCAAGGAGGGCCTTCTCGAGGAGGTCGACGGTGAGAGTGGTGGGACAGACTGCGAGAAAGTGGTCCCTGACGACGCGAAGGGAGTCAGGGAGGCGCGCGACTACGTAGTAGAGAGCGATGTACATGGGAGGGGGGTTCCTAGCGCAGAACTCAGCAGGAAGGGCGGCGCGGTAGCGAGTGTCACTAGTGCGGAGGTGCGTAATGAGGTCAGCGACAGTGGGAAAGGCAGAGAGGTCAGGAAAGAGGTAGGGAAGCATGAGACGGCTCAGTGCAGCAGTGGCAGGGGAGGAGTAGCGCGCAACTACAGCGTCGTACAAGGTCTGAGCACTCTTGTACTGACTAAAGTGCGCACGCTCAGAGGTAGGGAGGTGGCGACGCACAGCAAGACGTGCAGCAGCATCGCGGGTGGCCCACTTAGAGCGGACAGCGGGATCAGCATCAGCAGCAGGAGCAGGAGAGGCGCCAGAGGTGAGGTCAAAGAGCGAAAGGTCATCAGCCCTGTCGCACTATAAGAACAGCTGCAGGTCGTCTAGCCAGACCTCAAAATCAATGGCGCGACCCTCAGCGTCAAAAGCTAGGACACTAGGGGTAGCCATGACGACGACTGTGAAGCAGTGCAAGCAGTAGGGGGGAGAGCACGCAGTGACAGTGGGACTGTGCTCACCAGGCAGGGCAGGTCGCGCAGCTCGACAGAAAAGCAGAACGGCGACCGGGCGGCTCGGGTGTACAGTGGATCGGCTCCCGGGCGGCTCGACGGCAGGGCGGCTCGGGTGCAGGGCGGCTCGGCTCCCGGGCGGCTCGGCTGCAGGGCGGCTCGGGTGCAGGGCGGCTCGGCTCCCGGGCGGCTCGGCTGCAGGGCGGCTCGGGTCCCGGGCTGCTCGGCGACAGGCGGCTCGGGTCGCGTAGAAGTGAGACGGGGCGGGGCCGCGTTAGGGCCGGCGGTAGGGCCGCGTAGGAGCCGGGGCAGGGCCGCGAAGGAGCCGGGGCGGGGCCGTGATAGGAGCCGGGGCAGGGCCGAGTAGGAGGCCGGCGGTGAGGCCGCTTAAGGGGCCGGCTGCGGGGCCGAGTAGGAGCCAGCTGCGGGGCCGCGTGAGAGCCGGCGCGGGGCCGCGTAGGAGCCGGTGGCGTGGCCGCGTCAGGGCCGCGTAAGGGGGGGGGCCGGCGCGGGGCCGCGTAAGAGCCGCGTAGGAGCCGGCGCGGAGCCGCGTAGGGGCCGGGGACGGGCCGCGTAAGGAGCCGGCGCGGGGCCGCGTAGGAGCTGGCGGCGTGGCCGCGTAAGGGCCGCGTAAGGGCCGCGTAAGGGGCCGGCGCGGGGCCGCGTAAGGAGCCGGCGGCGTGGCCGCGTAAGGGCCGCGTAAGGGCCGCGTAAGGGGCCGGCGCGGGGCCGCGTAAGGGCCGCGTAGGAGGCGACGCGGGGCCGCGTAAGGGCCGGGGCGGGGCCGCGTAAGGAGCAGGCGGCGGGGCCGCGTAAGGAGCAGGGCGGGGCCGCGACAGAGTGGGCGGCGAGGCCGCAGGGGAGAGGGCGACTCGAGGGGTCGCTAAAAAAAAATCGCGCCTCGGGGGCGCGCTTCGGTGGGCCCAAAAAAAAATTTCGGTCCTGGAGGGACCTAGCTCTATACCATGTGCAAATGAGTAAGCAGGAATGAATGAACTATGAATGAAAGCAGTACAAATATGAAACCCTAACTGGGTTGTACCCCCTATGGGATACCCCACTACAGCCTACACAGCAGTATAAGCTATAGATATGTTCTGACAATGCAAGGTCAGGTCGAGTGCAGGTCATCACGTACATGAGGCAGCCAACAAGCTCTGCATACGGGCCACTCAACTCTACGGACTCATCCGAAGGCAGAGCTGAGAGCGAGTGGCGAGTAGGCAGAGGAGTGGCCTGAGGCGAGGAGTACGTGAAGCCGAAGCGCTGAAGGACCTGCTGCACCATGTGTGACTGAGTCAGGGTAATGGTGCGGCGTGCTCTGTCCCGGGTGATCTGCAAGCCAAGGTAGCTGCGCAGTTCACCCTGGTCAGTGCACATGTGTCTCTTCTGCAGCTCGGACTTCACGTAGGCGAGTCTAGCAGTGTCAGCTGTGGCAAAGACCAAGTCGTCGACGTACACGAGGATGTAGAACGGCGGCAGAGAGGTGTCGGTGCGCAGAAACAGCGACGGGTCGGCAGTAGAAGGAGCAAACCCAAGTGCCGCAAGCGTAGTCCTCAGTGTGTCGTGCCACTCACGTGGCGCCTGGCGGAGACCGTAGACTGGACGCCGGAGACTCCACTGGGTACCAGGAGGGAAAGACCCAGTGAAGCCAGGTGGGCGACGCAGCCAGATCTCCTCGTGCAGGCTGCCCTGCAAGAAAGCAGTGCTGAAGTCGAGAGAGTGCAGCTCGTAGTCACGGTGAGCAGCAACGTGCAGCAGTACCCGAAGTGTGGTCATCTTCGGGGTTGGGGAGAAGGTCTGAAAGTAGTCAACTCCCTGCCGCTGACTGAAGCCACGAGCCACGTAACGCGCCTTGAAGACAGGCGGAGAACCCGGCGGCCGCTTCACCCTGAAGATCCACATGCCACTGACGATGTTCGCCCCAGGAGGGGGAACAGCGTCAACGTAGGTGCCTGTGGACTTCCAGGAAGCCATCTCTGCATCCATAGCTGCCTGCCACTGAGGGGAGTAGGGACCCTCTATCGCCTCCGCGTAAGAGCGCGGAGTCGGGATGTCTAGTGCATCCGGGTCTCCCTCAGGGGCGAGCAGAACAGACACGAGATGAGGTGAAGCGGCGGCCAGACACTGGAACTCCTCCTGCCTGTCCTCAAGGACGTCCGTGCCTAGGGCACACTCACCCCCGACGGACGGAGGACAGGCAGACTCAGACTCAGCGACAAGACTAGCAGCGTAGTCTAGACGACAGCGCGCAGCAAAGTCGACAAGCTCAGTGACAAGGGCAGACGCAGCAGAAGACTCGAAGGAAGGGTCAGTGACAGCAGTAGCAAGGAGACGCGTGACAGTAGGACTGGCAGCACGAAGAGAGTCCGACTCCGGGTCGGCAAGAGCAGGAAGAGAGGACTCAGGAGGAGAAGGCAAAGGGGCACGCAGAGGAGCAGTGGACGGACGCAGAGACATCCGGTGCATGCCAGGGACAGGAGGAGGACGCTGACGCGAACTGCGACCACTAGTGCGTGCAGGACGAACAGGCGACGCAGGACGAGACGCGGGCTCACGACGCTCAGTAAGTCCTCCAGTCGGACCAGCGTAGGGAGAAGGAGCAGGCAAAGGGGAGGCAGGCTGTAGCTGTGACTGGGACCGGACAGGCTGTGGACCCTCTAAGGGAGGCGGAGGAGGACCAGGAGAAGGTGTAAGACCAAGAACCTGCTGCAGGAGCGGAACGAAGTACGGTCGGGGCCGCGTGGCGACGCCAGAAACAGCAGGGACAGCACCAGTACCCCCAGCAGGAGTACCCGCTCCAGCAGCACCTCCAGCAGCACCAGCTCCAGGAGAACCCTCAGGCCCAGCAGCTCCAGCACCCACAGCACGAGCACCTCCGGGACGCGCGGCAGCAGCACCCTCTGCAGCCGAAGAACCTCCAGCACCCTCTCCACGCCTCCGGCGCCGGGCAAACCACTCACGCAGCTCCTGTGGGGAGAGTGGCTCTCGGCGAGACGAAGCACCTCCAGGCGGAGAACCTCCAGGCGAAGAACCTCCAGGCGCAGCACCCTCAGGCAAAGCACCTCCACGCGGAGCACCCCCAGTCTCAGCACCCCCTGGCTCAGCACCCCCAGACTCAGCACCCCCAGGCTCAGCACCCCCAGACTCAGTACCCCCAGGCTCAGCACCCCCAGGCCCAGCACCCCCAGGCTCAGCACCCCCAGACTCCGTACCCCCAGGCTCAGCTCCCGCAGCAGCACCAGAGTCACCAGTGACCTCGACAGGCTCGACCGCGTCTACCTGGGACACACCTGAAGGGGCAGGACCCTGAGGGGGGAGGGGGTCTACCGGGGGGGGACCTGGTACCAAGAAGAGCGGGGGCGGGGGAAGGGAAGGAGTGCGGTAGGGGAAGAGGCGGTAGTAGGTTACCGACTCGTCGAACGTGACGTCCTGGGAGGACAGAACACGTCGAGAGGTGGGGTGGTAGAACTGCCACCCAGGGGCGTCGGGGGGGAACCCCAGGAAGACGCAGGGAGCAGCGCGAGGGGACAGCTTGTCCGCAGACAAGTCGCGGACAAACGCCCGAGATCCCCAGACCCGGAACGCCTACGCATCGCCAACCTTCCCCGTCCACAGCAGGGCTGGGGAGGTCTCCGGCCTGGAGACCCTGGGGTGGAGGTTGATCTGATGCGCCGCGTACCTGACCGCAAACGGCCACAGAAAATGGGGGGCAGCCGCATGCATCATAGACGTACGAGCGACGTCCATGACCATGCCAATGCGGCGCTCTGCAATCCCATTTTGTTGCGGTGAGTCCGGAAGCGTGAAGGTCTGGCGGATGCCTCGCGCACGACAGAAGGCACGCAGAAAGCCAGAGGAGAACTCTCCGCCTCTGTCCGAGTGCAGACGCAACACAGGAAAGTCCGAGCCAAAGCTCTGCCTGAGCTGGAGACGAGCTGCGCGGATCCAGTCGATCAGCACCTCAGTGACATCACCCTTGCTGCGCAAGGGGAAGACTGTGGTGTAACGCGAGTAGTCGTCAACCACCAACAGGAAGTAGCGCTCGTGACCGAGTCCACGGACGCGGGCAGGGCCCCACACGTCCATGTGAAGCGTCTGCAACGGAGCCTCTGTCGGAGGAAACTGGGAGGAGTGAGGGGCAGCACGCTGGCGCCCCTCGACACAGGGGACACAGGCAGGGCCAGGGCCCTGAGGAAGGGGAGGGAGGGACTGGGGGAGACCAGAAACAAGAAGACGGGAGGCCATGCCTCTGAGCTGAAGCAGAGAGGGGTGGCCAAGGCGGTGGTGCCAGAGGAGAGTCTCGTGAGACAGACGGCGACACGAACAGGGGGCAGACTCAGGACCAGACCTGGACGCTGCAGCAAACACCTGACCAGACGAAGGGACTCTACCAGACTCAGCACCGGGAGGAGAAGCAGTGGTCAGTGTGTACAGGCTCGACCCTGGCTGACGTGTAAACGTAGCCAGGTGGCGACCTGTGCTAGCCTCTGTGCAGTGTGTCACCCGCTGACGAGCAGGAGTGAACTGGTGGACACCCACATCCTGTAGGTCAGCACCACTCACCAGGTTCGTAGAGAACGAGGGGAGGTAAAGACCAGTCAGGGTGCCAGAGGGAGCCGCCGGACACGGGAGGACTGTGGAGAAACGAGACAGGACAGGACCCCCAGAGGGGTCAGCCAGGGACACCGCAACATGCCGACTAAGCGGCGTGAGAGTGGTGCGGTCCCGAAAGAAGGAGCGAGACGCCCCAGAGTCAAGGGTGAAGGTGTGAGAGGCAGAAGCCGACACAGTACCTGAGAGGGCAGACTCACTAGCACCTGAGAGCACAGACGCACTGGCACCTAGAGCAGCAGCCTCACTGGCACCTGACACAGCAGTACCAATGCCCGGGTCGGGCGGGAAACACCGGTAACAGTCACCATCATCACTAACAGTCACAGCATACATGGCAGCAAGGATAGCATCAAAGTCAAGATCAAACACAGCTACACCAGCCCTAGACAGCTCTCCCCAGCGGGGGATCTCAGAGGCCTCCGGAAACTGCTGGCGCCAAGCGTCGGTCAAGCGGGCAAAGCAGCGGCGAGCGGTGTGGGTGCCCCCACACTGCTCACCCGCGCGGTCGCCGGTGCGAAGGACGTAGGTGCAGGGACCGAATGCCCCACCACGCTGACGCTGCGAGTACCACTCACGGAGCTGCTGAGGGGCGGGGACGTCGCGAGAGCGCTGCTGGTGCTGCTGCTGCTGGCGTTGACCACCCCCAGTGCTGCTCCTCTGGGACGAGCCACTCCGACCACCTCCACCACCGCCACCCCCGCCTCCGCCGCCACCGCCGCCACCGCCACCCTCGCCCCCGCCGCTCCACTGCCTCCTCCGCCACCACCTCCGCCGCCACCTCCGCCTCCACCGCCGCCACCAGTACCTCCACTCCCACCTCCACCCCCACCGCCACCCCCACTCCCCCCGCCGCCCCCACCTCCTCCGCCACCGCCCCCGCTAGCTCCACCCGCTCCCTTGCCCCCCTTGCTCTTGCCAGAGCGGCGCCTACCGCTGGGGGCAGACGCCGCACCGACCGACTCTAAACCAACGAGGTCGGCCGCAGCAGCAGAGGCGACAGAGGGGAGCAGGGGGGAAGGAGAACACCCCTCAAAGATGGGGGTGCGCGGGTCACCACGAGAGGCCCCTACAGCGACTATGCTCTTCTCGGCCGCTAGCAGGGACTTCTCGAGGAGGTCGACAGTGAGGGTGGTGGGACAGACAGAGAGAAACTGGTCCCTAACAGCACGAAGGGACTCAGGGAGACGGGCGACTAGAAAGTAGAGGGTGATGTACACGGGAGGGGGGTTTTCGGCGAGGAAGGCAGCAGGAAGCGCAGCTCGGTAGCGAGTGTCGCTAGCGCGAAGGTGGGTAAAGAGGTCAGTGGCTGTGGGAAAGGCAGCAAGGTCAGGGAAGAGGTACGGTAGCATGAGGCGGCTCAGTGTAGCAGTGGAAGGGGAGGAGTAGCGTGCAACTACAGCGTCGTACAAGGCCTGAGCGGTCTTGCACTGACTAAAGTGTGCACGCTCGGAGGAAGGGAGGTGGCGACGCACAGCTAGACGTGCAGCAGCATCGCGTGTGGCCCACTTGGAGCGAACAGTGGGGTCAGCATCAGCAGGAGGGGCAGGGACAGCGCCAGAGACAAAGTCAAAGAGAGAAACCTCATCGATCGCATCGCACGGTAAGTACAGCTGCAGGTCCTCAATCCAGACTGCAAAGTCAATGGCGCGACCCTCAGCGTCAAAAGCCAGGACACTGGGGGTGGCCATTGTAGCAGCTAACAATCTCACCGGGCAGGAAGAGTCGGGAAGCACAGCGGCACAGCAACACTGCAGCACAGCAGCTGCGCCGGCCCAGGAGCAGCAGCAGCCCCACAGGAGCAGGAGCTCGGCACCTCATGTTGCTCGGGCGGCTCAGGCGGCTCGAGCGGCTGGGGCGGCGCGGGCGGCTCGGGCGGCTCGAGCGGCTCGGGCGGCTCGGGCGGCTCGGGCGGCTCGGGCGGCACAGGCGGCTCGGGCGGGTCTGCTGCACGGGCGGCTCGGGCGGTTCTGCTGCACGGGCGGCCCGTTCGGCTTGGGTGACGCGGGTGGCACGGGTTATGCGGGCGTCGCGACGGGCGGCTCGCTGGCGGCTCGCGGGCGGCTGCACGGGCGGCTCACGGGCGGCTGCGGGCGGCTGCACGGGCGGTTCACGGGCGGCTGAGGGCGGCTGCACGGGCGGCTCACGGACGGCAGCCTGGGCGGTCGCGGGCGGCTCACGGACGGCGGCCTGGGCGGTCGCAGGGCGGCTCACGCTGGGCGGCTGCACGGGCCGGCTGCACGGGCGGCTGCACGGGCGGTACGTCGGGCGGCGCACAGGCAGCTCACAGGGCGGCTGCACGGGCGGCGCGTCGAGCTGCTGAGGGCGACGCACGGGCGGCGCACGGGCGGTGCGACGGGCGGCTCGCGGGCGTCGGGCGCTAGGGCGCTAGGGCGACGACGGGCGCGCTCGAGGCCCTAGGGCGGGCGGCTGTCAGGCTCTAGGGCGGGCCGCGCTCGAGCTCTAGGGCGGGCAGCGCGCGGGGCGCTAGGGCGGGGCGGCGCTTAGGCTCTAGGGCGGGCGGCCGTCAGGCTCTAGGGGGGCCGCGCTCAGGCGTCTAGGGCGGGCAGCGCGCGGGCGTTAGGGCGGGCGGTCGCGCGAGGGCGTCTAGGGGCCGTTAGGGCAGATCGAAAAAAAAGGAAGTAAGAGGGCCCGGAGCGCGCTCCCGGGCAGAAAAAAGTTACGAGGTAGCGGAGGTGGGCCTAAGAACAGTTCCCACAGGGGAACCTGCTCGATACCATGAGAAGAAGTGAACGAGAATGAAATGACTGTGAACGAAGTGAGTACAAATAGGAAACCCTAATTGGGTTGTACCCCCTATGGGATACCCCACTATAGCCTACACAAATAAGTAAGCTATATGTTTCTGACATAAACGCCTCGTTCATGGTCATCTGAAATATTGCGGGGCGCGTTGGTCATCTCGAAGGCATCACCGTGTACTCGAATGACCCGTACCGAGTCCTAAATGCTGTCTTGGCGGCAGTCGATGGTTCGACCCGAATTTGATGGTAAACCCCCCGTAAGTCTATTTTCGAAAATACCCGTGCTGTTTGCAGCTGGTCGAATCAGTTTGTCGGCGCGGGGGATGGGGTATCGCGATTTGACTATACTCTGTTGAGCGCTCGTAATCAATGCACATGCGAAATCCTCCGTCTTTTTCGGTGTGAACAGTATTGGTGCGGCGAACGGTGACGAGCTCGGTCGGATAAACTGCTTCTCTAACAAATAACCTAACTGCTTCCTTAGTTCGTCGAGCTCCGGGCTGCGTCAGTCTGAACTGGCGCTGTACAGTTGGCTGTGCCCCCAGTTCTAACTCGATTCTATGGTCATATGCGCCCGCTGAGGTGGCAGCCCTTGCGGTAAGTCGTCTGGAAAAAATCCCCGGGTACCGTTTCAAGAGTTCCTGAAGTTCGGGCGGTACTCTGCTGCCAACAGTTTATGAAAATCGCTCGGCTGCTCCTCTTCTCCCACTAATGCTATATCCACTGCGTACACGTCAGCTCCAGCGGCGACAGCCCGTTTCATCGTGATGGCGTTGACGTGGACCGTTGAAGACTCGGGTGGTCGCCAGCGAGGAAGGACGACCCAGTTACCACTACTTCGCACTGTGCAGCTACCCGTCGTCCAGTCAATTCGCGGGTTATACCGTCGCAGCAAATCGCATCCCAGTAAAATGTCGTGCCCATCCAGTGTCGTTGCGAGCATTTCCTATGTAAACCCGAAGTTCCCTCCGCATCGGACTTTTACCTCGCTCCACCTTTTCCCGTATGGCCATTGGCGTGCCGTCGACTAAGCGTGCGTCTATCTCAGGTAAGCAACGGTTAAGTGTTAACTGCAGTTTCCGTGCGGTTCTGTATTAAGTAAACTGTAACTTGCTCCTTCGTCAATAAAAATCTTCACTCCTGCTCCCTGTATCTTCCCGTAGATCAGTACTGGGCAATCCGTCGCTGTACCCTCCTTATTCATCTGAGCTCGATCGATGGCGTGAATCGGTACTGTGACTCGGTGAGGGTCGGTGCGGTTGTGCGAGCAGGCAGTCGGTCAGTAGTTGGTTGCCCACTCTGCTGCGTTTCGGCCCTTTACTCTGCCTGTTCCCTGCTTGCTCCTCGGCGCCTCTCTCTCTCTGCGCTCGCCCTGCTCTGCACGCACTCGCTGCGGCACTGCATTCGTTGCATGGCGTGCTGTGGTGTGGCTCTGTCGTCCACGAGAGTAGCTGCCCGTCGGGTCGTGTGCGGAATGTCAATTTCGTCTCTCGGTCGAGCGTGTCGAGTAGAAATCTCGGTCGAGAGTTGGAGCGCGAGTCCGTTGGTTGGAGCCGAGCATGATTTCGTGCGAGATATCCGGCTTCAGCCCTCCGACGTAACGGTCCACCCGCTCCGCTTCGTGCATGTAGCCGACCTGTTCGCAAAGTGCGAGAAAACCGCTCGTATAATCTTGAACCGACCCGAGCTGGCGCCAAGTGCGCAATCTCTAACGCGCCGAAATCGAAGCCACGATCGGCTCGAAGCGCGCCCAAAGCCCTGTGCACCACGCATCCCACGTGCTGTATTGGGCGGTCTCGTAGAACGAACTCCAGGTGAGAGCTGGACCCGTGGGCCCTTCCTCGTGCGACGGTGGCTCGTAGGCGCGTGGCGATGTCACGATGACTCGCCACCAGTCCATGGCGGGGCCCCTTAGCAGCGAAACTGCATACCGAATTTTCGCGGCGTCCGACTCGACGTAGTTTGCGTCGAAGAAGACGTTCATCGTGAAGACCCACGATTGAACCGTCGGGCCTCCGCGTTGGCTTGGGTCGAAGCAGGGCGGGCGCTGTGGCTTGAGCGGCATTGGTGCCATAATGGCCTGTTCGCCACTTGTCGCCGCAAATTCCACGTGCCGACGGGCTTCCCGGGGCTCCTGCGGGCTTGGTGCGATCCTGCTTCCTCCCATGCCAGGCATCGGCTGGGCGGCGCCATCACTAGCTGCGCCTGAGCGTTGTCCCATGTTGTCGTGTTGTGTTGGTGTGCCGGACGAGATGATGATCGGCTCGTCCGATTGTGCAGATGCATTTGTCTGTCCGTGTGATGTTGCCGGAATGTTCACCGTGGATTGTTGACGGGCGGAGTCACGTTCCGCCGTGAGCGTCGCAATTTCGAGCGCCGAATCTTCCAGTTGACGCACGAGACGATCAAGCTGCTCCTGCGTCAATGTGGCGAGCGTGAAATCGGTCATGGCGGGGGTGTCGGGCAAGCTCAGCGAGAGCCTCGGTCGTGGCCGTGCGTGCTTACGAGAGAGCACTACGAGCGGCGGTGCTGTGTCGCTGAGAGACGTCTACCCCCCCCAAAAATTGAGATAGTGGGGAAGCGAAAGTGTGGATGCGGTCCGAGAGGAGATCGTAGGCTCTGAATAACAAGTGTTACGAGTGCAATTGAGTGAACGAACGAGAATTGCACTATCGAAGCAAGAATACAATGAGCGAAGGCATGAGCGAAGAATATATAGCGAAACTACAGTAGTAACGGTAACGAACTGTGGTTGTCGCGCGACGGGCCTGGGACTGAGGTTGGGAAAGTGTCGAAGCGGAGGCCCGGAGCGCGGGTTACCAGCCGAGCCGTGAGGTCGGGGTGCGATGTGCGAAAATGGCGGGGTGATTGTCGATGCGAGGATCGCGAGTGGTAACGGTGCTGACTGAGGTGCTACAGTGATGTACACGTTGAGTAGGGATGCGAAGTAAGGAAAAGTGATTTTCCTTACAAAAACTCACAACACCTGAACTGTAAGCGAACCATGCATGTGACTGGCCCTTGCACCTACACTTCACATATTAAATACATATCTAGTGTGTGTTTTTCTATGACCAGTATGAACTTGTAGTATGATATGGTGGGCGGCCTGACATTCATAGCAAGTGTATTTCCCAAGACAGTTATGATCGGGGGGAAGCAAAAGGGTCTATCCTACCATTCCCTGTCCAGATCCAGGTTTCTAATGCAGGGATTATACCCAAGTGCTGATATTGGCAGTCCGAATAACTGCACTTGTCTACTATCCAACACACTCTCATGTCATGAGTGATGACTCTCATTCCTCAAGGATAAATGCAAATCAAGGTCACACAACACAGGGTTGCTACTAGGTGTAAGCGTACAAGAATAGCACAGAGGAGTACCCGTACCCATCAACCCAACATTGAAAACCCCTCTACCATCAACCCATCCCAAGCTACACTTCATCAACCAGCTTTCCACTTCCTTCATCCGCTACAGGTCTCAACTTCGCGAGAATGAACGCCACCTGATCCACCGTGAAGATGACCACGTAGATCGCCGCAAATAGCCCGATCGCAATCGCGAAGATGATGAAATACACTTGCATGTCGGAGGCGAATTTAGCCGCCATGGCGTCGAACCCAAGGAACGTGTTCACCCAAGCGAGTCCGACAATAACCAGGCCGAACACCCAGTGGATAACAAACCACGTCGGCCGATTCACTGTACCCTTGTTTGGCCGGAAGTGACCAATCACAGGCTGGATGAAAATCATCACAAAGATTGCGATTCCGAGCTGGCCGTGGGTTCCCTTCAGACCCACCGAACCGGATTCAACCATTCCGATTATGCACCCCGCGATAGCCAGCACAACCGCGACAATCTGCATCCACTTGTGCGTTTCGAAAGCCATAGGCTTCCAGGATTTCGCGCGCGCAATCTGCTCCTCCCACTGGATGTGGTCCACGCCGGGCGGCTTCTCCTGGAGCTTATCGGCGAGGAAGATTCGCGAGATGAGAATAGCAGCGGGCATGAGGATTCCGAACGCGATGCCGAGCAGCCATCCGTGGATGATGAAGGCCGTTGAGGAAGAGGAAGAGGAGGTCGAGACGCTTGAGCCGGAGATGAAGTCGATCTGAGCGGATCCGCTGTAGGAAGTCAGAAAACACGAGGGGATGGGAGAGGGATGAGGAATGGCATGAGGGATGAGGAATGGCATGAGGGATGAGGAATGGCATGAGGGATGAGGAATGGCATGAGGGATGCTTCTGAGGCAACACGAATGGGTCCAATCACTCCGCACAAGAGGAGGTGGAATGGAGAGGGCAAGCGGACTCACCAGTTGGGACCATGGTTGGCCAGAGTCTGAGAGCCATCAGCAGAGTAAGCCCAGATGACCATGGTAGGCCCGTTTGTGTTGATCGGGTACGATCCCTCCCTTACCCAAAGTTAGTGCAATGGACGATGGCAAGAGGACTCACCAGTTTGGACCATGGTTGGCGAGAGTCTGAGAGCCATCAGCAGAATAAGCCCAGATGACCGTGGTAGGCCCGTTCGTGTTGATCGGGTATGATCCTCCCGCCATCGGCCGCGTGAATTTCACAACCGTCTTCCCATTGGCTGCCGACTCCACTGTGGTGCCTGACATGGCAAATGCTGACGTGGCAGAGATGTCTGACGCACCGTATCCCGTGATGCTGTACGGGCCGACCGCTGCGCTGTTGCTGCCAGGTGGCAGGTTGCCAATGGCTGCGTCGGCCGGCTCCATTTTGCCGTTGCTGTTCCACCCAAGCGAGACCCAACCGGAGGTCGCCACCTCAGCAGCGAAACTGATTGTTGATGTGTTGGCCTTCCAGTGGAGAATGTACCTGTGAATCAATGGACACAGAGAGGAGGGGGGGAGAGAGTAACACAAAGAGCCAAGGTAAGAGGAAAGTGGTACACTCGCTTTCTTTCGCAAAAAGTGGATGCCTAATGTTATAAAAAGAGGTAGTAATGTCCACCGTTAGAGAAGGTAAAAAGAAGAAAGAAACTTACTTGTCGCCACTAAGCTGAGCCGAGCACGTGTAACCAGCAATAGTCGACGGAGTGCAACTGCTGCTGCCACCGCTGCTGCTGGCACTGGTGCTGTTGCTCGCCTTGGAAGTATCCTGGCCTGGGTCGACTGCCCCAGTTGCACCCGAGCCTGAGGTCGAGCCTGAGGTCGAGCCTGAGGTCGAGCTTGTATCCGTGGCTCCGGAGACGAAATTGACTGTGGCAGAGCCGCTGTTAGGGCAGAGCAGGGTGGGGATGGGACAGGAACATACGGTTAGTGCACGGGACAATCCCAAGGTTGGGACAATCCCAAGGTTAAGCCAAAGCAGATCACTGTAATCACCCCAATGCCCGAAGCTGCAAATGTCAAAGCATCATTGGCCGAGCATATGAAGATTGAACTCAGAGATTGTGGAGGAGGCAAGAAGATGTATTTGGACCTACCGGTTGGGGCCATGATTGGCCAGGGCCTTAGACCCATCAGCCGAGTAAGCCCAGATGACCTTTGTTGTTACATTATCCGCAACACATAGGGTGAGTGGTCAACGATACGAGAACATACCGGTTGGGGCCGTGATTGGCCAGGGCCTTAGACCCATCAGCCGAGTAAGCCCAGATGACCTTGGTCGGCCCGGTCGCACTCATCGGGAACTCCCCCTTGGCCATGGCGCGGGAGAATCGGATCACCGTCTTCCCATTGGACGAGGTCTCCACGGCTGTAGCGGTGAGCGGGAGGGTCGCCGCCGCCGGAGTGACGTCAGACTCGCTGTAGCCGGCAATGCTGTAGCTGGCGACTGTAGTGGCGCTGCCTGCTGCGCTGCCCGCAGCGGCGCGCATGGTGGTGGTGGAGGGAAGGTTGCCGACGACGGCGTCAGCGGGGTACATCTTTCCGTCGGCGCTCCACCCCAGGGAGACCCACCCGGTGGTTGCCACCTCGCAGGCCAGGGCGATGTTTGCCCCAGTGGTGGTCCAGTGCAGGACGAAGCTGCGGAGGGGGAAGAGGAGGGAAGGGAGGGAGAGACTGAGTGAGTGAATAGTGAGTGATGGAGACCCACCCGGTGGTTGCTACCTTGCAGGCGAAGGCGATGTTTGCCCCGGTGGTGTTCCAGTGCAGGATGAAGCTGGGGGGGGGGAGAGTGGGAAGGAACGGGGAGAGAGTGGGTTGAGAGAGTCAGTGAGTGAGTGAGTGAGCGGTGGTTGCCACCTCGCAGGCAAGGGTGATGTTTGATGAAGCCACCTCGCAAGGCCCCGGTGGCCTTCCAGTGTAGGATGAAGCTGGAGAGGGGGGGAGGGAAGAGGGAGTGCTGAACAGACAGAGAACAGATTGAAGACACGAAATTGACCGGAAAGACTAGTGCAACAGGTAGGTATGCAGATCTGCTTACTTGTTCCCATTGAGCTTCGCCGAGCAGGCATAACCAGCGATGCTGGAAGGAGTGCAGCTGCTGCTGTGCTGCTTCCAGTGCTGTTTTGAGACGCCTCAAAACTACACTTCAAACACGTGGAAAGGATAGTGCAACAGGTAGGTATGCAGATCTGCTTACTTGTTCCCATCAAGCTTCGCCGAGCAGGCATAACCAGCGATGCTGGAAGGAGTGCAGCTGCTGCTGCTTCCAGTGCTGTTACTGCTGCTGCTGCTGCTGCCACTGCCGGCAGACGAATCAGCAGGAGGGGTTGGCGGGGGCGTGGAGGGGACAGGAGGGGTCTGCGGAGGCGTGGTTGGGGGGGCTGGCGAGCCTAAACCCGAGCCTGATCCCGAGCCTGATGGGGGAGATGAGGCAGCAGCGCCGGCAGCGAAACTCACAGCCGCAGAACCGCTGTGGAGGGGGAAAAGAGCAGGGGAGGAGGGGGGAAGAAAAGAGAAGCGGACTGAGAAGTGGAGAAAGGGGAGCAATGAGATACGAAGGTAGAGAAGTGGGAGAGAAGAGCTGAGGCAGACGCAGAGCAGAGGTAAGGAGGCAGAGGCAAAGAGGCAGAGGCAAAGAGGCAGAGGCAGAGGAGTGGGAAGACAAAGGATGAAAACCTGAATGGGTTTGCTCACCGGTTGCCCCCGTGATTGGCAAGTGTCTTGGACCCATCAGCTGAAAACGCCCAGATAAGATTCGTCATCGCACTCGTGTCAATCGGGAAATCCCCTCCGGCCAGGCTCCGCGAGAATTTCACCACCGTCTTCCCATTGGACGAGGTCTCCACAGCTGTAGCGGCCAGCGGGAGGGTCGCCGCCGCCGGAGTGATGTCAGATTCACTGTAGCCAGCAACGCTGTAGCTGGCGACTGTAGCGCCGCCCGAAGTGGTGCTAGCGGCGCGCATGGTGGTGGAGGAGGGGAGGTTGCCAACAACGGCGTCAGCGGGGTACATCTTGCCGTCGGCGCTCCACCCCAGGGAGACCCACCCGGTGGTTGCCACCTCGCACGCCAGGTCAATGGAGTCACCGTTGGTCTTCCAGTGCAGAACGAAGCTGGGAAGGGCGAGGGGTGGAGTGAGGGAGGGGAGGGTGAGTGAGTGCGGGAGGGGAGGGTGAGTGAGTGAGGGAGAGCAGGTGAGTGAGCCTTTGAGCGAATGCGTGAATGAGAGCGAGTGAGGGGTGGATTACGAGACTGTCTGGACTGTGAAGGGAATTCACTCACTCGTTTCCGCTGAGTTTCTCGGAGCAGGTATAGCCATCCAGACTAGACGGCGTGCACGCAGGGCCGCTGCTGTTGCTGCCACTGGCGCCAGGTGCGGAGGGGGAGGTGGTGGGCGGAGTGGGGGTGGTGACGGGGGGAGAGGGCGCGGGGACTGCGGGGGGAGGACTGGCGGTAGTGGGGGAGTGGTAGGAGTGGTGGGAGTGGTGCTGCTGCCGCCACAGTTGAAGCTCACGGTTTTTGAACCACTGCAAAGATAGGGGAAAGGGTACGAAGATTGGCGAAAGGAGAAATTGAGGGTTAGTGAGGCGGAAAGAGGAGAGTTGGGGAAACAGATGGAAACTAAACAAATCCAACATTAGAGCGCAATATATTTTTGCACAGCAAAAGCCCTTCAAACGAGTACACAAAAAGCCAACCCCGACTTGCACGTACAAGTTATTGCCGTGGTAATCCAACGATTGAGATCCGCTCCCGGAATACGCCCAGATCAGCGCGTTCGGCGCGGAAAGCGACATCGGGATCGAACCTTCCCCCTCCGTCCGCGTAAACTTCACGATCGCGCTTCCGCCGCTCGACGTCTCCGTCGCCGCCGCGCCGACGGAAAACGTCGTCGTCTTCGCGATGGATCCCATATCGTATCCCGAGATCGCGTACGCGCCGGCCGCGCCGCCCGGCATGTTCCCGATGACCGCGTCCGACGGGACCATCCGGCCGTCGCCCGTCCAGGCCACGGAGATCCACGAGCCCGCGGCGCCGCCGGATGCGGTGGCCTCGAGCGCCATGTCGAGCGACGTGGCGGACGCTGGCTTCCAGTGGAGGAGCAGACTGTTGGCGGGGAGGGGGAGCGGAGCGGGGGAAGAGCGGGGGAGAGAGAGAGATAGCCGGGGAAAGCGGAAAACGGGCAAATGGGTCGATGGAAGAGGGGCGCGGCGGACGCTTGCTTCCAATGGAGGAGCAGGCTGTTGGCGGGGGAAAGGGGGAGGGGAAAATGCGAGACCGAGGCTGTGGACGACGACCGAAGGAAGACGATGGGAGTTTGCGCGTACCCTGGGGTGAGTTCCGCCTGATAGTCGAATCCCGCCAGCGAGGAAGCCGGGCACGAAGCGCCGCCGCCGCCGCCGCCGCCGCCGCTGCTGGAACCCGAGCTGCTGCCGCCGCCGCCGGTGATGGAGTCTGGTGCACCCGTCGCGGGCGCGGCGCCGCTAGCGCAGGTGAAGTCGATGTTCACGATGCCGCTGCGAGAACGGGACGGGGTGACGACGGGACGACGGGAAGAATGGCAGGCAGAGTGAGGGACGAGATTCGCCCATATAATACAAACAAGAACTTGATAAGGACTCCCCACAGGAGGCTATCTCGCGGGACATGGATGCTAATAACGCGTATACTGCAACCTTCGCGCACTTACAAGTTCCCGCCGTGGTAATCGAGCCCCTGCGAGACACTTTCGGAAAACGCCCAGATAAGCGTGTTCGCGTCGGGCGCGACGGGGAAATCCCCGTCGCCGATCGTGCGCGTGAACTTGGAAACCGTGCTGCCGCCCATTGCTGGTCAGAACCTCCGCCGCCGCCACCGAAAACGCCGTCGTCGGTACGACGGACCCCATG